TTAGTCTGTGAAAAATAACACAACTGATTTAATCAGAGAGTTGATTTTGTATCAATGGAGATGATATGGGATGCATGTTAGGTGTGGAATTACAAGGGAATGTCACATTATTAAAAAATAAATAAATAAATAAATATATATATATATATATATATATATATATATATATATATATAGTTACATTCCCCTTTAAACCAATCACCAGCTAAATCCTGGTATAACCGCCTGCTGTCTAGGATGTCTATATACATACACTTGGCAGCAGGTGGTCACAAAATATGTTTTCTGGTGTAATTTGCAAATGTACAGTATGTGTATATGGGACAGTCATATGTTCTCATCCCACATGCTGGCTCTGCTTCCTACTTCGCAGTGCTGCAAAATGGCTGTGTTATTGCACTCCAACCATTGTCTCAACTCTCCCTCTCCTGAAAATAATTAGAAACATCTTCCTTCTACAGGATAGTTAGAAAAGGAGTTAGAAGGGGGGTTGGAGCATATTTAAGAGTAGATAATTATAGCCTAGAATTACAATTTAAATAGGTGTTTGAGCAGTTTGTTCTGACTCCTACCAAAACAATGTACTTAACAGCATTTACTAAGCTTAATAGGTTAGTACATATGTGAGTGATTGACAAGTGTGGCATTTGCATTACATTGGCTAAATTGGATGTAACATTCCTGCCATGAATACTTATTAATTTGCATTTCCTCTTCTGGGAGAGATGGTCAACTGCAGGCAGAATGCTGCCCCAACAACACAACTGTAGATTGTCTTCTGCAGCAACTGATCATGTAGACCAGGCCCTAATGTAAACAACATATCGTATTGTAACAAATAAACACACTGGAATAGAAATTCCAGTGCTGGTATTTGGGGTTGATTTGAGTAGAGAATGTTTGATTTTAATTACATTTATCTCAACAGAAATATTGCATGACAAACAATAAAATCACTTTTAAAAAATTCTGTAGCACATGAAGATTTATATGAAGCCGTATATTAAACTTTTACAATGTTATTAAAGCAGCATGCTTTATTCTATTGAACAATTAGCACTTCCAAATGACCTTAATTTCCATAATATACACATGAGTCTGTTCCTCTAATGTTAATCCAGATTTCCTTGTAATGCAAACAATGCCATATAGCGAATGCAAGCAACCAGCTGCAAAACTGTTATCACATAGCCAAAGTTCATATTGTATACGATAATGGAATATGATCCATCAGTAATCCAGATTATATCATCCAAAAAAAAGGGATTGGTTAATTTATTAGTATGTTAGACCAGGTTTTAAATACTAGAACTATAAAATATCACATAAAGGTGGTTAGCCCTGTTAATATGTAGCCCACATATACAGAACTGGGATAAATTGCATGCACTGTTTTTGACTATTCCAAAAGATTATGTATCTGACCCTGTACTGTACTCTGTAAGTACACCATTCATTGACATAAATTCTACCACTGTTATGCAGAAGGGTTTAATGCAATGTAGGGGTATATTCACTAAAGAGACCAAGGACTCTGATTTAATGTCACAAGGTATATTAATTTTACAGGATATATATTGAACCAGATGTGCATTTCTAGGGATCGTCTTTTTATATATTATGATGCCATGATGTGGCCTTCTTGCGATATATTGAAATTCCAGAGCCATTCCCAAATAAGACTTTTTGCTGAAAATTATACTGTTATACTTCTCGATGCATGACGTTAAATGTGAACTGTTCCTAATACTTTTTAGAAACATTTTACAATATATGTTAACAAGTTAAACAAAATGTAGCACAGGATACCAGGCCACATGTTCACTGGTACGTTTCTTACCCAAAGGTACTTCCTTAGAAGGATGTGGCCTGTAAAATGTCACATGTCTGAAAATAAGCAGTCCACAGCACTACTGAGTAAAGTTCTTAGAGTCTTGACCTCCTCCTGCTACATTCAAACTGGGCTTCCTGAAGGAATCAAAGGACACCTCCCTGTGGAGTGGCTATAAACTGGGGGATCACCAGCTCACAGTTTCCAATACAAACATATACCATTGGAGATATAAATCTTGTGTGAGCCTTATTATTTAAATAAATGATTAAACTCACATTTTCAACAACAGTTGACAGTTAGGTGTTGCTAAATGTACTGGTATGGTATGGGAAATACTTCAATCATATTTTCAATATCCATCACAACAACTTATAGTGTATGTTCATTTTTGAGTTATAGAATTTGATATATTGATTCCTTTTGAATGAGCTCTTGGTGACTATATCTGGATGAACTATTATCATATTAACAGAGTTAAAAGCACACACACACACACACACACACACACACACATATATATATATATATATATATGTATTCTAATATAACTTAAAATGTATTTTAAAAAATAGCTAAAATAGATTATCCCAATAATCCCATGCACTTCAATTTCTCCTAATTGATGAATCCATCTGCCTTCTCCTTGTAACATTAGTTTATACCAATCTCCCCTTTTTTTTTACTTGTGTTGTATGTATTTTAACTAAAATAAAGAAACTGAGCCAATCAGTCCTCTATATTTAGTGTTACATGGCATGCCATGAACCACAAACTCAAATCATACAAATGGCCTGAGATCCTATCTTTTCTGACTCTCATGTTAATACATACTAACTTGTCCTTTAATGACTTAGTCCTTCTATACACTATTTGTATTTACCTGCTATAAACTTATTTAGTCTAGGATCCTCCCATAGGACAGTTCAGTGTTTTTGGAACATCTCAAGAATCATTTTATGTTAAATGCAATATGTGGTAATTAATCTTTTTTTTTTGGTTATTGATTTTGACTTTTCTGTAAGCTTCACAAAATATTCAGTCCTTATAACCCTGACTTTTGAGCTGTTTCCTAAATTCTTTACCTCCTTTATTTATGGTCCCAGAAATTCAATCGGATGGCAGGTGTCATCCTGGGAACGATAATTTGAGTTAATTTACTAGGTAAATAGGCTTTTCATTTTGTAGGTAAAGTTACATTTTGCCAAGGAAGTTGCACTTTTGCTATGTCTTATGCAGTGCATATTGATCAGATATAAAGAAAAAAAAACACAAAAAACCACAACAGCAATTTGTAAACAGATGGCAATTGTAAAAATACCCAAGGCATAAAAATGGCATATACGCATTTGAAGAAACTCACTCTGCATTCACTTTAGAGAACATTCAAGGTTTAACAGAGAAGCTTAAAATACAGTAGGTTGCAAAAAAAACAATGGCAGACAGATGGTAAATGTCAAAAACCTGCAGTGTGAAGAGCTCTTACTATTGAAAGATACTGTAATTATTTGTGCAAAACAAAATTCTGCATTGCATGTGTCTTCTTGAAAGCATCATTTAAAGTAACCTAAGAGTCTTATTTTAATGTCATAAAAATATGACAAGAATAAAACTCATACAATAAATATTACAAAATCAGTTGCAATACAGACAATACAATTATGGCATGGGTTTTTTCCTTTTAAAAATGGCCAGAGTGTTGGCACAGAGTGTAATTATTTGACTAACTCAGAAAATACAGTATTTGTTCACAGAGCAAAGTATAAACAAAAATAATGTAAGAAAACAGAAACTGCTTACAATGTATTTGGAATATGGAGTTCAGTTGTGGTAATGGTGGAATGCTTATTAGGAGTGCAGTCTATGTTAATCTCATAAAACTGGTTGACAGCATTCCTTGCTGTAGGCAAAGGAATAACATAAAATGACCACAATTCAGACAAAAAAAGGTCATCACACTATACCACAATCATGTATTAGATTTTTATTTGTAGTAAAAAGACTGTATACATTAGTCAATAAGATATAACTTTATAGACCCTTTTTATCTTATAAAACCACCAAGCTACTCATTCACTCCCTTGGTATCTCTTGCCTTGACTATTGCAACTTTCTCATAGGCCTGCCTCTCCATAGGCTATCCCCTCTTCAATCTATCATGGATGCTGCTGCCAGATTCATCTACCTTGCCAACTGCTCAGTGTCTGCCACCGCTCTCTGCCAATCCCTCCACTGGTTTCCTGTTGACCAACAAATTAAATTCAAAATACTAACATCATACAAAGCCATGCACAACTCTGACACAAGCTGCATCACCAATCTTTTCTCCAAACATCACCTAAGCCATCCTTTGCACTACTCCCAAGACCTCCTGCTATCAAACTCTCTTGTCTCCTCCTTCCATCTTTGTCTTCAGGACTTCTCCAGAGCCTCTCCCATCCTCTGGAGCCCTCTGCCTTAATATATCCAGGTATCTCCTTCTCTGGCTGCTTTTAAGCAATCCCTGAAAACCCATTTCTTCAGAGATTCCTATCAAGCCTCCAACTAACAACTGTACTTATAACTCTTCCATCAGCTCATCCCCCACAGTTATTACCTTTTGTACCACTTGCCCCACCTTATTAGATTGTAAGCTCTTATGAGCAGGGCCCTCTTAACCCTCTTATAGTTTATTGCATTTTAACTATACTGTCTCCCTTTAGATTGTAAAGCACTGCACAATCTGTTGGCACTATATAAATCCTGAATAATAATATTGACAGACCCCAAATCATTATAGCATTCCATTAAAAGGAATATGTAGTATTCTAACTGTTTTGTTTAGACATACATGTAAAGAGATCAGCTTGGTGTAAATAATAATCTTTTCAATGTCTGTATATCATTTAACCACTTCAGCTCTTGAATGTGCTTATAGAAAACAGCAATTTTTACATTCCCACTATGGGTCTGTTTGTTTGTAAATACCGTATTTTTCGCTCCATAAGACGCACCTGACCATAAGGTGCGCCTAGGTTTTAAAGGAGAAAAACAAGAAAAAAAATATTCTGAACCAATGGACTGCAGACCTAGTACAGGAAATGACCAGAGACTGCGGACATGGTACAGGAGATGACCAGAGACTGCAGACATAGTACAGGAGATGACCAGAGACTGCGGACACAGTACAGGAAATGACCAGAGACTGCGGACGTAGTACAGGAGATGACCAGAGACTGCAGACGTAGTACAGGAGATGACCAGAGACTGCGGACATAGTATAGGGGATGACCAGAGCCTGCGGACACAGTACAGGGGATGACCTGAGACTGCGGACAAAGTACAGGGGATGACCAAGAGACTGCGGACATAGTACAGGGGATGACCAGAGACTGCGGACATAGTACAGGGGATGACCAGAGACTGCAAACATAGTACAGGAGATGACCAGAGACTGCGGACACAGTACAGGGGATGACCAGAGACTGCGGACATAGTACAGGGAATGACCAGAGACTGCAGATAGTACAGGAGATGACCAGAGACTGCAGACAGTACAGGGGATGACCAGAGACTGCAGACAGTACAGGGGATGACCATAGACTGCAGACAGTATAGGGGATGACCTTTAGGGAGGGAGGGGGAGTGGGTACCTGAATTTGACAGATACCCGCTCCCACTTCCGTGGAGTTGTCCTCCCTTTACTGTGGGCACCCAGCTGTGACAGCCGGGAGCCCACTGCACATGCGCAAGAAGCGCTGCACTTTGTGAATGGCCCGGCATCTTCTGGGAACTGTCATGTGTCCCACAAGATGCCGGACCATTCACAAAGCGCAGTGCTTCTTGCGCATGCGCTGTGGGCACCCGGCTGTCACAGATGCCGGCGCAGGAAGAAGCCGGCGCGGGAAGACTGCGCAACGGTGGACCAAGCAACAGCTAAGGTCCTGCATCTGAGAACAGCTGAGCAGCCAGCCCAGTATTCTGACATGGTGGGGTGGAAATACCAGACCGGCCGCTATATATTCGCTCCATAAGACGCACTGACATTTCCCCCCCTTTTTTTGGGGGAAAAAAGTGCGTCTTATGGAGCGAAAAATACGGTAACTATGTTAATACTTAAGATAAGAAGTAATATCTTTTTGGTGAAGGGAGGAGAGGACTTTGTTTTCTGTTAGAAATATAGTTTTCAAAAATATTTTATTTTCTATGGACTCTATAGATTTTTTTGTTATATGGCACTAAAAATGTAACAAACAAAACAATTAAAAAAAAATGGAAAAAAATAGAAATAAAAAAGCGGGGGAAAATAGAAATAAAATTAGCAGGAAAAAATAGCTAAGGGGAGAAGAGGAGGAAGGAGTTAAATATTAGGCTGATTAGGGTAAAATAAGAGTTAATAAGGGGTTAAACATATAAATACATTGCCAATTGATGAATCTAAAATATATAACCTTTATTCAAATATATAAAAAAGTATGCTCAGCTGTAATTAATGTCTATTGGAGAGGAATATTTAATTCTTTATACTCCTGCCGAAGCTCTGTTTTCTGGAGCAAAACATGTAGAGTTTTTTTTTTTTTCTTTGGGTCTTTCTTTGGGAGCACTTTTTGAATGTACATGGTATTCACTCCTGTCCCCCCTTTTTTGGAGAGGTCTGTACTGTATTTTACAGTGCATCATTTGCATTCGTCAAGACAGGTATTTTTGATTAGATATGGTGATGTATGGGGCTTATCCATGAGAAGCTGACATTTAAGCTCTTGGATGAGTGTACCCATATTACATATCTGTAGTGAGATAGATTATACTATCTAATTACTTTTGTCCATGGGGTAACTCCATTTCCTTAACAGATATTATATATTCAAGCTGATAGGCTTATGATCAAACTACAGTGCCTCTTTGTATGCTGTCACTTCATCTAAAATTGTATGGTATTTGATTCAGTCTGGTGTTATTAACCATTTGGATATAAGGTAAATAATTGCAATGGTATCCAGCCACATTGTTGTGTGCAGTACATTCCAGTCCAATAGACATTAATTACAGCTGAGCATACATTTTTTATATATTTGAATAAAGGTTATATATTTTAGATTCATCAATTGGCCAGATGGTGCATAGGGAAACACACCCTCGTCCAGTATAGATTTTTTATTTGCTGAAGATGATGATTGAAAATTAGGACTTAGTTTAATATAAATATATTGTTTTTAACAAAAATGTTAATGTTTCTTTAACTGATATCACATATAGATGAAAGGTCACATCTTTGATCTACATATGAATTAAATAATAAATTCAATGAAACAATACATTGAATTTTTGTATTTAATCAATGACACTTGCATACTATCTGCAAGTGTCCTTTTACAAAGGAGTGGCTGCATTTTGCAGCAGCTCCTGCTGTGTAATATGTAGCAGTTATTGTCTGTCATTTTGATAGCTGTAAATTGCCAGTAATAGCAACAGTGGAAGGGTGGCCGGAGGAAATGAGTTGAATGCAAGTTATGCATCCTATAAATTCTGTGGACTTTTTTAGGACATATCTGGCTAACACCTTATTTCTGCGTTTGTAATTGTATATATACTGGGGCAGCTTTAATCTCTCTGAGGTTTTGCAAACTCTGCATTTTGTTGTGCAGTGCTGCAATATGGATGTTCTTTATTGCTCCCTCAAAAAATGAACATATATGGAGTTTATTTACTAAAAGTGTAGAGGCAGTTCAAAATGAATGCTAACTGAGCTTAGTAAATAATTGATGCTGTAGTCACTTCAATAAACCAATTTAAAAAAAAAGTCTCACTCATGATTGGATATCCAAAGTGAAAACTGTTTTTTCTCTACAGTCTCTACTCATGCTACTCTTACTGCAAACAATGCACTCCCTGTGTCATTTACATCCTTTTTCTCTTGCTTTTATGCTGTTAGAGGAAGTCATTATTGTAGTTTATCTACTATTTTCTGATCTAAAAATATCTACATTTAATACAATGACTAAATTTGCAACAACTACTTTAGGGAAAACACTACAATAGCTCACTGAAAACACCCTTTTGTTAATATGGCACCTTTTTTAAATACAATTTTAGCATGTGGAAATGTGTAGTATAGTATACAGTTATCATCATAGTGATATTTCTGCTTTCCACATCAAAATATGTTAAGGGAGAAATGAAAAGAGGTTTGAAGGTGGAGCTCTCTGTCCCTTCTCTTTTTTTGCAGCCTAGTCATATCCATTTCAAAAATAAAAGCTTTGAAAGGTTAGTAGAACACTGTTCATTACAATGCAAGCTAACACCTTGGAATACTGTATGAAAGTCTTTAGTAATGTGATATATTTAAAATGTTTCTAAAGCATATTGAAGCTTCATAAAGTATCCTGAATTTAAGAGCAAATTACATTTCTAAATTTATGCTGTGCTTCTGTGAACTGGTTTCTTATACAAATACCAATAAAATAAAGAAAGTCTCAAAAAAATGAGTAATGTGTTTCTGAAAAGTCTGTGTAAGCATAAACTTCTTCTGCCTAGTTTAATGTACTGGTAACTCTGATGTTTGAAAAGTAGAGTTTTTAAAATAACCCTGTCACAATTTTGGGTAATTCAAACAGAACATATGAGGGAAAAAGTATAAGCAAAGGTCACCTTCATGGAAAATTGCTTGTCAAAATAATCAGTACAATCATAAATATGGAATATTTTAATTATATGCAAATTTTGACATTTCTTGTAAAACTTGAGCTTTGCCGTGGGCTCACTTGCTTCTGGAGCCACTACCTTAAGGACTATAACTCTGATAGGTAGCCTAAATGTACTCCTGTTTTTAAAGTGTTCAGCATTTTCATTATGCTTTACTGTGATAAACTGCAATACCCTGATAACCAGCTACAAAACATTGGGAGCTTGCATCAGTCAGAATTAAAGTTAGGTTACAAAACTATTAAGCAGATCATAGTTTTACAGACGGCTCATGGTGTCTCACTAAGAAAGAGACTGCCACTTATTTTCACGGACTTGTCTAACCTGGTTAATGATACATATCCAGTTATTTGGGTTTTTTTTAGCACTTGTTATTGCCAGGGATCAGTTGTAGTGCTTGGAAAGATCTGCTTGAACCCTTTACCCAACCCATTTTGTCCAAAATCCAGAATATAAATTATTCTGCACATTATCTTCCTTGCTCCTTTTTATATCCATCACAAAATAGATTGGTGCTTGCTTGGCGGATTTTTTTTTTCCATTTCCTCTTGTGGTCATAATCTGCCCACTGTTTCTCTCTATTGTCAACAACTGACACACACACACTGTTACCAAGATTACAGGTATATGTGAATACACCCTAATCCCTGTAGGAATATTTACATATACACAGCTAGATCTGAAAGTTCTTACACAAAAGAGGTAGTTCCATCTGCAATATACATTTATTGATAGAGTTACATAATATATACAAATGACACACTAAGCAGTATTTACAACACAATATACAGTTTAAGTCCCTTGACTTCTACATATTTACAAATTACCCACAAAACCATATTTACAGTTTAATGTATAATACAAGTATGAAGTTAGTTTACCTCTCAACTTCAGGTCTGGCCATGCTGGCTGCTGGGTGTCTCAACACAAAGAGACCCACAGCTTGGGGCTAATATAATGCTCCCTAATTGGTCACTGTACCTAGCAAATGTATACTGGGCACAGCCAGGTTGGAGGATACATAGAAGGCTGCTGTTTACAACTTATGTGAGATGGGAAAAGCTACAAAATAAGATCAGAACTTATTTAGTGGAAAACTATATACATTCACACCAGTATGGAAGCTAGGAATAGTGTGATGCTGCAAAACACTCAATGGTTTAAATACCGTATATTGCCATCTAACTAAAATATACTTGTAATTATAATATTATTTACATCTGTTAATGGAGATTTCACATAAACTCATTATCTAACGTGCACGCACACGCACATTCAGATCCACACATTCAGATCCCTTTGACACGAAACACGTCAGGGAGGAGCCTTGCCGCATTGACGTCACTCCGCAGAGGCCACGTGACTATTTTGACTATTCCCAAGAATGAGCGCTGACGGGCATTCATTGCTCTTTATACTCTGTTCCCGTTATATACTCTGTTCTGGTTATATAATAAAATACTACACTATTAGCACCTTATTGTTTCTGGCTTGTCAATAACGAGCCTCCAAGGTGGAGATATCCCCATTTTTCTGAGCTGTATTATCCAGTGATGTGGGAGTATCATGGAGCTGTTCCTGGATGCTGAGAGGGTCCTGTGAGAGAGGTCTGGAGTTACCTTGTATGCTGACTGTGTGCCAGATGATTCCACTATTCTTACCTGTACCCAGATGACCACAAAGGATAATATATACAACATGCGCTTTATTATTGCACTTCTGGTGAGTGCAATCATATTACAGGTTCCTGTCACAGATTTCGCTAGCACGGATTCCAAGGATTTTTGGACTTTTATTTACGTTGCTGATTATATGTCAAAATATCTCATCTAACACCAAAGTCACTCTTTTATTTATTCATTTATATATTTATTCACTTATTTATACGTCAGCTTATGACAATAAACTGTATATCTTCATATCACTTTTTAGCGCAATTAAGCGCTCACATCAGTCACTTTATATTACGTTAGTGCTGCATTTTTATATATTTTTACATCCACACACACACATGCACATTTGCAGGTATCTAAGCTATTGGGCTGGATCAGGAACCCCTGCCCTGGACCATGTCCGACATTGTTGTGACTACATATTTCACCAGGCTACTATTGGTTAATCTGCTGGATCTTCCTGTAATGTAAAAAAAAAACTGTCTAAGGATGCAATGCCTATGTAAATACAATGTCACCAGTTGATTGCATCAAGGAGGTCAAAATATTTCGGCTTTACTATAGATTGCCTAAGCTAGTATCTTACCAGAATTTCTAATGCAAAAGTAGCAAACTTTGCCCCTCCA